TATATATGACATACAAAACAGTGACATATTGCAAGTAAATTTAAGAGATAAATATATATTTCTTTACTCATATATGTATATACACATATGCATATACTAACATATTTAGTATAACATATACTAATATATTTTCCATTAAATAGGAACATGAACTAGAAAGGCAGTGTCTCTATTCAGTTGTTTCTTCACTACATTCACCTAAAATTAAGTAAGCTAAGTAATCTTAGTCAACCGCCCTGTGTTGAGTTTTAAGCACACTGCTTGTGTTAAATAGTATGGGAATATTTTTTTCCATTCAGAAATGACCTTGCCCTATGTTTGAGGGTTTCCTCTGTAAAACCAAGCACACCTGTATGCTGTCACACAATTATGAATTCATCTGTTTTTATCGTGTTTTCAATATCTCTGCCCCACCGCAGATAATTTTCCGTAAAATCAGCGATGTGAAGAAGGAGGAGGAGGAGCGCCTCAGGCAGAAGAATGAGGTCACGCTCAGCATCCCCGTGGATCACCCCGTCCGAAAGCTCTTCCAGAAGTTCAAGCAGCAGAAGGAGCTGCGGAATCAGGGCTCCTCGCAGAGCGACCCCGAGAGGAATCAGCTCCAGGTAGAGAGCCGCTCCTTACAGAATGGAGCCTCCATCACCGGCACCAGTGTGGTCACGGTGTCACAGATCACACCCATTCAGACATCTCTGGCCTTCGTGAGAACAAGCGAGTCCCTCAAGCAGAACAACCGTGAGGCCATGGAGCTCAAGCCCAATGGCGGTGCTGACCCCAAATGTCTCAAAGTCAACAGCCCCATAAGAATGAAGAACGGGAATGGGAAAGGGTGGCTGCGACTCAAGAATCACATGGGCGCCCATGAGGAGAAAAAGGAAGACTGGAATAATGTCACTAAAGCCGAGTCTATGGGGCTATTGTCGGAGGACCCCAAGGGCAGCGACTCAGAGAACAGTGTGACCAAAAATCCATTAAGGAAGACAGATTCTTGTGACAGTGGGATTACAAAAAGTGACCTTCGTTTGGATAAGGCTGGTGAGGTGCGAAGTCCGCTGGAGCACAGCCCCATTCAGGCTGATGCCAAGCACCCCTTTTATCCCATCCCCGAGCAAGCCTTACAGACCACACTGCAGGAAGTCAAACACGAACTCAAGGAGGACATTCAACTACTAAGTTGTAGAATGACTGCCTTGGAGAAGCAGGTGGCAGAAATTTTAAAAATACTCTCAGAAAAAAGTGCACCCCAGACCTCTTCTCCGGAATCCCAAACGCCTCTCCAAGTACCTCCCCAAATACCATGTCAGGATATTTTTAGTGTTTCCAGGCCTGAGTCACCTGAATCTGATAAAGGTGAAATCCACTTTTAATATATATTATACATATATATTTGTTAATATCTTAAAGACAGTATATACATCTATATACAGAATGTGTATATACAGTATATACATATATATTTTCACTTGCTTTCAATATGATGAACACAATATGGATTTTGATATGTAAATATTGCATGTCCAGCTGGATTCTGGCCTGCCAAAGATGATTATTAAAAACATAGATATTGCTTGTACATTATGCAGTTGACTGCATGCACACTTTACTTTTATTTATAATCTCTATTCTGTAATTTAAAAAAGTATGATTTGTGTTAATTAAGGCAATGTAATATTTGAAGAATCAGGGTCCAACCTGCCAGTGTTGCCATGACAAATTTGATCTCAGGCTGAGTAGACTGCACTGTCATTTCCTCACTGTTCTGTTGAGTTAAAATTATAGATTCATGCCAAGGAAGAGTTCAACTTTGTAAACTGTTAGTACCGTTTTATGATCTCTTTCCTTAGGTTATTTTCCTGTAACTGAGTGTTAGGTTATTTTTCCCCAAGAGACAATGTTTGCTCCATTTAAAGGCCTGTTTTGTTGCCTGTGTCAGATAGCAGTGTGGGGTATTGAAAATTTATTGCTATGGGTTTTGTGCATGAATTGCATTTTTGCTCAACTATACCTCTTCTTTTTCAACATTATACTTAGATAGTAATCATTAAATTCTGTGTAAGGAAATCCCTATCCCCTCCGTCTTGGAGAACAGCTGCCATCTTGTAAGCTGATTTTACCAACCCCATAACACAAAACTCTTAATATAGTGTATATTATTATAGAAATACTGCACCACAGGGTACAAGGGCCTTTTAACCATTCCTGTTAGAGATGCTGATCTTCTGAAGGTGATGGATGCTCTAAAGTTGTGTTTCTAAAACTCGTTCAAGGGTGAAGTTAAAAGGCTCTTCACAAAGAAAGAAACAAAAAACATTTAAGTAATTATATCAAAGTTTTACCTATAATGACTTAAATAAAAAAGAATGTAAAACAGACAAGTTTTGTAGCTTATCTATCACTTAGGAGGGATGAGACACAGGTACGGAATTGCTCACACATGATTCTGTGTAGCAATAACACATGAAATGTGGTTTAAAAACCCAGAAACATTTAAGAA